TTTTAAGCTTAAACCGTTTTGTCATTTGAGGGATTTTTTCAAAAAAAAAATTTAACAAACTATTTTTATTCATAAAAAACTCCATTTTTGGGTGTTTTTTGAAATTGGTCCAGCTCACTTAAATCTTAATATTTTTTCGAAATATTTTGGTGGACGTCTTAAAATATAATAGATTTTATAATTCCAATGGAAAAATAGTACCGATTTTTTTTTGTATTGGGAGTGATGCAGTCTAATGTATATGCATGTTTTATGCTATTAATATTTTTTCGTTGGTGACCCTTCCGAATATCGTTTAGTATGTATGTACATATATATGCTAATGGTAAACAATAGTGATCTTCTCACTTACCAGTATGTGTGTATGTTGTATGTCTATCGATGCTAGCGCCAGCATGCAGACTATCTGGAAAGTGTTGGGGGAGAAAAACAAAGCATTCATATGTATATAATAATAGATTGGCGCTTACACATATGTTAGTGTTTGGCCGAGCTTCTCCTCCGACTTGTGGCGTGCGCCTTGATGTTGTCACACAAAGCGGAGCGACCTACAATTTTACGCCGACTGTTTCATGGCAGAAATACACTCGGTGGTTTGCCATTGCCTGCTGAGGGACGACAGCATTTAAGAAAACACCTTTTTCTATATTTTTTGCGATGTTGCTTTGACCAGGTGCTGATGAGTGAAAGCGCGCTCTGCTTACCACTACACCACAGCGGCCGATCATATTCATTCATATGTATATACTAATATATATTTTGAAACCCGTTTTTTCTGTTCGCAAAGCTCGAGATTCACTGCACCGATTTTTTTTTAAATTTCGGTTATAGGTTCTGGATGGGCTTCTCCTTGTCTTAGGCAAAAAAAACAACTTTTAATACTTCCTAAAAATGGAACTGCGGAATACATCGCAAAGCAAGGGTTATGTATACATATAGATATGTGCTAATGTTAACGTTAATGTTGATTCTTATGTTAAAAAAACAAATATGTATGTACAGTTTATGGAGAAATAATGTAGGCAATTACGTATGTAGAGTCGTTTAAGTTGCCACAAGGAGCAACTAACATTGCAGGTAGCACTTACATTTGTATATGCATTTAGACTTATGGGATCTCAGTAGAAAGGTATTTTCACACTGTTTTTATTTCTGTCCAAAAAAAATCATTGGTGTCCCAATTTAATTTTTTTTCCAAATACCAACACATCTTAATTCAACTTTGAATGACGTTCGTTCATCCTACCTTTCTCTTTCATCCTTTGAATGAGTTTATTAGCAAAGAAATAAAAAGGGTGAGAGGATACCTTTCCACCGACACCTCTTAAGTCTAAATCAGAAGAGTTTAGGCTCAGTTATTCAAGTTTTTCTTATACCAATCTTTGAAAAAAAGTTAAAAACAGCATCAAAAATCTCATAATTACGATTCCGTTCAAATTTTTTTTTGTAAATATTTTTATGCAAATTTTTTAGGCTTAAGCCGTTTTGTCATTTGAGGGATTTTTTCAAAAAAAAATTTTAACAAACTATTTTTATTCATAAAAACTCTATTTTTGGGTGTTTTTTGAAATTGTTCCAGCTCACTTAAATCTTAATATATTTTCGAAATATTTTGGTGGACGTCTTAAAATATAATAGATTTTATAATTCCAATGGAAAAATAGTACCGATTTTTTTTGTATGGGGAGTGATGCAGTCTAATGTANATTTTTTTTCGTTGGTGACCCTTCCTAATATCGTTTAGTATGTATGTACCACTGGTACATCTGCTACGAAAAAGTTCCAAGTAAACTCGCGGCGCAAATTAACTTTAACCTCAAAATAATTTCACCAAACAAACAAATTTATGCCGGTATTTTTAGCTCGTGCTGTCTCCGCATTAGGTGGGATCACTGATATGTCAGCGCCCGTATCAATTAAAAAATTAAGTTTCGATAACGTATCAAAAATGCGGAGCCGGTGATTTTTGACGACGTCAGGATGTTTGCGAATTCCGGATATCGTCGCAGCCGAGCATTCCTATTGGTTTGTTGCGGTTTTTGCGAACGTACATGGTTCGCGACATTTTGTAGCTTTGTCGCCGAACTTATTATGGTACAAGCAAAAACCGTTCTTGGAAGTACTGTTTTGAGGTACCGTTTTTGAACGTGATAGCGATCTGGCGCGTGGACGGTCCCTAACCTTAAACTGCCTCTGCAAATTGCGTGAAAGTTCCGCAATTTCATCTTTGAGGTTAGCAATATCATTGCGAGATGAGGAGACCATTTCAACTTGGCCTTTGTACCAACCAATAGATTCGGCAATTGAATCAGCCACCTTTACTTTCTCCGTGAGCGGAACTTTCGTTGCGATTATGGCAGCTTGGACGTAAGGAGGAAGTCGCGCTACCCATAAGTCGTGCAACAAACTATCGTTAAGCGTAGTGCCGGCCACGCGCTTCATTTCGCTGAACAATTCGCTTGGTTTTCGGTCGCCCAGAGGCATATCTTTAAGGACGCGTTGTAAGCGGCGTTGCTGGCTTTCAGTGAAGTGGTCGGTTATTCTCTGCTTAATGTATGCGAATTTTTCCGTAAGTGGTGCGGCTTCAATTATCGGTTTCAGCTCCAGTAGTTTATTCGGTGGAAGGCTCGCAAGCGCAATGTGAAACTTCCGTATATCACTGTGCACGAAGATGCCTGAAACCAGAACTCGCTTATCGCGGGGAGTGAAATTCGAGGCGTTCCTCTGTAGCTCTCAAAGATGCTGGTATCTTGACCGCCCGTAATAGTAGTGCTGTCATTTAGAGGCATATTTTATTATCAATACTCTAAACGAAACGCGTGTTGGAAAAGCGGGGTCACCAGTATGGTACGATTAGAATAAAGAACGACTTGCTTCCACGATGATCAAACATTTTTTGAAAAACTCAAAGTCGTGTAAAAATTATCTTTAGGCATCAAGCGAAAAACGTGAACAAATAATAGAAAGGAAAATGTCAAACTTAACAGTGTTGCATAACCAAAAATAATATTGCAATTCTACAGTGATGGCAAACGATAATGTTATTACTTCCGTATGAAATGTAATTAAATTTATGGAATAGGAAAAACGATACGCCACATTACCCTCCTCCTAGAAACCAGATAGGGTTGCGGTAAAAGCAGGCTTAAGTCTGTCGATAGACACTTTTGCTTCCTTATTGTTGATCTTGATGACGTAATATTTGGAAGTTCGACGTAGAACATTGTAGGGGCCTTTGTAAGGAGCTGTAAGCGAGGGTCGAACTGAATCATCTCTGACGAACACCTGGCCGCAGGTTTTAATGTCGGGGTGAACAAAAACTTTCGGTGTAGTATGCCATGCCGCATCGGTCGGGCGAAGGTCATTCATAGTACGTCTGAATTCGGTGATAACGTTATGTTCGTTATTAGATGGCTTGTTCACATCGAAAAATTCGGATGGCAGTCGAAGAGTCGTACCATATACGAGTTCTGCGGGTGTTGCACTTAAATCCTCTTTAAATGTAGAGCGCAGACCGAGCAAAATTAATGGAAGATATGTTGTCCACTTTTCAGCACTATGACAGAGAATGGCCGATTTTAGTGTACGGTGCCATCCCTCCACCATTCTGTATGCTTGTGGGTGGTAAGGCGTCGTACGTAAATGGCTAACGCCCAGTCGCTGCATTAGTTGTCGAAAAAGTGCGCACTCGAACTGCCTACCGAGGTCAGTCGTAATTGTCGCAGGGACACCAAAGCGAGAAATCCAGTCGTTGACTAAAGCCCTGGCAACCGAAGGCGCAGTGATGTCTGGGAGAGGTATGGCATCAGGCCATCGCGTAAAACGATCAATTATTGTAACACAGTAGCGATTCCCCTCTGAAAGGGGGAATGGCCCTACAATATCGATGTGAACTTGTGCGAATCGTCCTGAGGGTATGGCACGTCGCTGTAGCGCTGTTCTGTTATGGCGGATGATCTTGCTTCGTTGACATTGTAAACAATTGCGAGCGAACTCTCTACTGTCGCGTTGCATGGATGGCCAAATGAAATGTTCGGACATAAAGCGCGCCGTGACCCTTGTGCCGGGACGTGCAAGGTCATGCACAGAGTGTAGAAAATCGGCTCTAAACTTTTTCGTTANCGTTCGGACATAAGGCGCGCCGTGGCCCTTGTGCCGGAATGTGCAAGGTCATGCGCAGAGTATAGAACATCGGCTCTAAACTTTTTTGTTATGAAGGGCCGAACCTTTCCAATTGAGCAGTCGCAGTATAACGTTTGCGAACTGTAAGGAAGAGCAAACTGTGTAAATTTAAGTGAATGAGCAGTGTTACCTGACAGCATAGCTTGCAGTAAAAGTTCCAAGTAAACTCGCGGCGCAAATTTAAATTTAACCTCAAAATAATTTCACCAAACACTTGAATGGGGGACCCATTTGCTGCAAACAAATTTATGCCGGTATCTTTAGCTCGTGCTGTCTCCGCATTAGGTGGGATCACTGATATGTCAGCGCCCGTATCAATTAAAAAATTAAGTTTCGATGATGTATCAAAAATGCGGAGCCGGTGATTTTTGACGACGTCAGGTTGTTTGCGAATACCGGATATCGTCGCAGCCGAGCAGTCCTATTGGTTTGTTGCGGTTTTTGCGAACGTACATGGTTCGCGACATTTTGTAGCTTTGTCGCCGAACTTATTATGGTACCAGCAAAAACCGTTCTTGGAAGTACTGTTTTGAGGTACCGTTTTTGAGCGTGATAGCGATCTGGCGCGTGGACGGTCCCTAACCTTAAACTGCCTTTGCAAATTGCGTGAAACTTCCGCAATTTCATCTTTGAGGTTAGCTATATCATTGCGAGATGAGGAGACCATGTCAACTTGGCCGTTGTACCAACCAATAGATTCGGCAATTGAATCAGCCACCTTTACTTTCTCCGTGAGCGGAACTTTCGTTGCGATTATGGCAGCTTGGACGTAAGGAGGAAGTCGCGCTACCCATAAGACGTGCAACAAACTATCGTTAAGCGTAGTGCCGGCCACTTCATTCGCTGAACAATTCGCTTGGTTTTCGGTCGCCCAGAGGCATATCTTTAAGGACGCGTTGTAAGCGGCGTTGCTGGCTTTCAGTGAAGTGGTCGGTTATTCTCTGCTTAATGTATGCGAATTTTTCCGTAAGTGGTGCGGCTTCAATTATCGGTTTCAGCTCCAGTAGTTTATTCGGTGGAAGGCTCGCAAGCGCAATGTGAAACTTCCGTATATCACTGTGCACGAAGATGCCTGAAACCAGAACTCGCTTATCGCGGGGAGTGAANAAAAGGCTCGCAAGCACAATGTGAAACTTCCGTATATCACTGTGCACGAGAGATGCCTGAAACCAGAACTCCAAGGCGTAAAAGTACGCCTCGATATTCTCCTCGCTCATCGCGGGGAGTGGAATTCGCGGCGTTCCACTGTAGCTCTCAAAGATGCTGGTATCTTGACCGCCCGTAATAGTAGTGCTGTCATTTAGAGGCATATTTTAATATCTATACTCTAAACGAAACGCGTGTTTTAAAAGCGGGGTCACCAGTGTGGTACGATTTTAATAAAGAACGACTTGCTTCCACGATGATCAAACATTTATTGAAAAACTCAAAGTCATGTAAAAATTATCTTTAGGCATCAGGCGAAAAACGTGAACAAATAATAGAAAGGAAAATGTCAAACTTAACAGTGTTGCATAACCAAAAATAATATTGCAATTCTACAGTGATGGCAAACTATAATGTTATTACTTCCGTATGAAATGTAATTAAATTTATGGAATAGGATAAACGATACGCCACATATATATGCTAATGGTAAACAATAGTGATCTTCTCACTTACCACTATGTGTGTATGTTGTATGTCTATCGATGCTAGCGCCAGCATGCAGACTATCTGGAAAGTGTTGGGGGAGAAAAACAAAGCATTCATATGTATATAATAATAGATTGGCGCTTACACATATGTTAGTGTTTGGCCGAGCTTCTCCTCCGACTTGTGGCGTGCGCCTTGATGTTGTCACACAAAGCGGAGCGACCTACAATTTTACGCCGACTGTTTCATGGCAGAAATACACTCGGTGGTTTGCCATTGCCTGCTGAGGGACGACAGCATTTAAGAAAACACCTTTTTCTATATTTTTTGCGATGTTGCTTTGACCAGGTGCTGATGAGTGAAAGCGCGCTCTGCTTACCACTACACCACAGCGGCCGATCATATTCATTCATATGTATATACTAATATATATTTTGAAAGCCGTTTTTTCTGTTCGCAAAGCTCGAGATTCACTGCACCGATTTTTTTTAAATTTCGGTTATAGGTTCTGGATGGGCTTCTCCTTGTCTTAGGCAAAAAAAAAACTTTTAATACTTCCTAAAAATGGAACTGCGGAATACATCGCAAAGCAAGGGTTATGTATACATATAGATACGTGCTAATGTTAACGTTAATGTTGATTCTTATGTTAAAAAAACAAATATGTATGTACAGTTTATGGAGAAATAATGTAGGCAATTATGTATGTAGAGTCGTTTAAGTTGCCACAAGGAGCAACTAACATTGCAGGTTGCACTTACGTTTGTATATGCATTTAGACTTATGGGATCTCAGTAGAAAGGTATTTTCACACTGTTTTTATGTCTGTCCAAAAAAAATCATTCGTGTCCCAATTTTATTTTTTTTTTTCCAAATACCAACACATCTTAATTCAACTTTGAATGACGTTCGTTCATCCTACCTTTCTCTTTCATCCTTTGAATGAGTTTATTAGCAAAGAAATAAAAAGGGTGAGAGGATACCTTTCCACCGACACCTCTTAAGTCTAAATCAGAAGAGTTTAGGCTCAGTTATTCAAGTTTTTCTTATACCAATCTTTGAAAAAAGTTAAAAAACAGCATCAAAAATCTCATAATTACGATTCCGTTCAAGTTTTTTTTTTAATATTTTTATGCAAATTTTTTAAGCTTAAACCGTTTTGTCATTTGAGGGATTTTTTCAAAAAAAATTTTAACTAACTATTTTTATTCATAAAAAACTCCATTTTTGGGTGTTTTTTGAAATTGGTCCAGCTCACTTAAATCTTAATATTTTTTCGAAATATTTTGGTGGACGTCTTAAAATATAATAGATTTTATAATTCCAATGAAAAATAGTACCGATTTTTTTGTATGGCGAGTGATGCAGTCTAATGTATATGCATGTTTTATGCTATTAATTTTTTTTCGTTGGTGACCCTTCCTAATATCGTTTAGTATGTATGCACATATATATGCTAATGGTAAACAATAGTGATCTTCTCACTTACCAGTATGTGTGTATGTTGTATGTCTATTGATGCTAGCGCCAGCATGAAGACTATCTGGAAAGTGTTGGGGGAGAAAAACAAAGAATTCATATGTATATAATAATAGATTGGCGCATACACATATGTTAGTGTTTGGCCGAGCTTCTCCTCCGACTTGTGGCGTGCGCCTTGATGTTGT